CAAAATAAAATGCCAAATTTTCTGCTGGCTTTATTGCTTCTAAAACATTAAGCCCATATTTTGACCCCATTTAGGTAAGTGAAAAGACCTTCCAAATTGTGAAAGTGAATTTTATATAAACTGCTATTATATGAGTTTACTTGTATTTCTCATTCCATTTTTGTTCTTATGATGGAAAAAAACCCCGTAGAAATAAAAATAAATGTGTATTGATCCTGACACGAATGAACAGAAGTTTAATTATCAATGCATTCTTTAATATCTTTTCCAGAAGCATCAGGCTGCATGTCTGATCCAAAATGCATATAGAGGTTTCAAGGCAAGAAGGAAATTTGTTCAACAAAAAGCTGCTGCTGTAGTTATCCAAAAACATCTGCGGGCTTGGCGGGAAGGCAGGCTTCAATTTATGAAATACAATAAGACTAGAAGAGCTGTCACTAAACTGCAAGCATTTATTCGGGGTTATTTAGTCAGGAGAAAGGTTGGTATAATTCAAATTAAAACTGCTTTGGATGTAATGTACCTCTAGAGCTGTTTTTCCATTAATTCTGACTGTCAAGGAGAGGAAAACTTGATTTCTTGGTGTTAAAATCAAATTCTTGTTGGTTGCTTTGAGTATTGGGCGGGTCAGAATTAACTAATAACTCTTCACACATAGGCTTGCAATGAAATTGTTCTCTGCTATGTATTGATGATGTTACTTACAATCACTTCTCTGTGTTACCATTTAGATTAGAGATCTGGTATTGCAGAGCGGTAGCTTACTTTAGTTCTGAGGTGATTGTCAGTATCTAATAGTATGTTGCTGTGGACTATGTTCTTTGTGTGGACGTCCAGCTACCTCAGAGTATGAAAATTAATGATGTTCCCTGTTTTGTTTTCTCTCTACAGATTTCAGATCAGAAACAAAAGAAGAGACTTCTTTATTTTACAGCAGCTGCATATCATCATATCTCTGCAATTAAAATTCAAAGGGCCTACAGGATTCACCTCACCTTAAAACTTGGACAGACCCAGATCTCATCTGTTCTTATAATACAGGTTGTTCTGATTAAGGCTGAATGATTTGTATAAGTCTAACTTGTTTTCTATGAGCTAAGCTGTAGCACTAAGACAGTGTAGTTCCTTCACATGTGAATATAAGGCTAAATAATGGAGACTATGATTTACTAAATAATGCTGCTTATGCATGGCGAAGCAAGCTCTGGAGGCTATAAAGTATTTTAAAGTTGAGGATGGATAGGACAATTTGTTTTTTTCAGACCCTCAAGCTTGCTAAATAAATCTGAGTGCTGTCTTAGCCTATCTCTTTCTATCCTACTGGAGGTAGGAAAGATCAGACACCAACCTGTAAGGTTTGTGAAATGTAGAACATCTCCTTACATGAACAATCCCTTGGGATACTGATTTATTTGGTTGGATGCTTCTGATCTGCCAGTGGTATTAGAGCCCGCTTAGGTTGCAGCATTGTAATAAAACCAGGTTTTACTTATCTAAAAACAAGATCAAAATCAGGTCTTTTTTGCAGTACTGCCAAATTGTAATAATTATTTTCAGGTCTCCAAACTGACCATTAGTTTCAGTATGGGAGGCCAGCACTGGATAAATGGAAAGGCTAAAATGGGAGCTTTGAAATAGCTGTTCTTTGGTCAGGGATATCATGGCAAACTTTGCCCTACTAATTCTCCATGTATAAAATCTGTTATTTCTCCCCATAAGTTAGATTTTCCCTTTAGGGAAAGAGAGAATGGATGGAAAAGGGTGTTTTTGCTCTGATTTGGTACACAGTACCGTCTCCCTTCTTTGTTTATAGAAGGGAAGAAACAGAGCTGGGAAGTGAGAAAAGTGGAGTGGTGGTTCTCCTTAAAAGCCAGCCAAGAGAAAGAGAACTCTTATGACATAGTAATGCTGTGTGCAAGTATAAACTGGGAGAGTTACATATTATGTCTTTTTGTCAGCCCTGAAGTGGTCAGACAGTTGGTCTGGATCATCATTGTAGGTCCCATCTAACTGAAAACCATTCTATCTATCCCCTTCTCTACCCTTCCTTCTCTACCCTTCTCTCCTCAGAATGCTTCCATAGTGGCTCCTAGTTAAGATTTTATTCTGCAGTCTTGCATTTCAGCTATGCAAGGGCAATCAGAGTCATAGAGGTTATTTGTGACTGGTGATGTTTATAGTGCCTGTATCTGTCAGCTTGTGTTAAAACACTGTTTTTATCAGTGCTCATTTAGAGTGGGAAAAGGGAATTTAGGGGAAAAGTTTTAAATAAACAGAAAGGTACTTTCATTTTAAACAGAGATGGTTCCGTGCAAAAATGGAACGGAAGAGATTTTTAAGAAATTATCAAAGACTCCTTCGGTTACAACGTGTGGTTCGAAGCTGGCTGAATCACAGGAATGAGGCAGCAACCATAATCCAGAGAAATGTGAGGAGATTCCTTGCCTGCAGGCGCAGGAGGAAATTTGCAGTGGGAATAATTAAATTTCAGGTAAACACCTCATGTAAGAGGTTGGGTTTGTTTATTTTTATTATCTGGTTTTTTTTCTCATGGGTTTTTGGGGAGAGAAAGGATCTTTGCTTTGGTTGATGACTTTATCAGTGAAATTGCAAGCCAAGTCAGCTTTGATTTAGCCACAAAAGCCAAAGGCAAACAGACCATGAAGGAAAACTAAGCAGATAATGGTTGAGATGACTTAGGCTGGGAGTGTGTGTGGACTGAGTATGCATGGACTTTTTTTGCCTTTTGTCTTGAAAGTCCAGTATTTGAAAGATAAACACTGAGTGTTAATGACTTAAAATTGAATTCCCAAGGTCATTCAATACTTTGTCAGACTTGTGTAAAACTGATTTGGAATGGAGATGGAAGTTCTGTTGTCTTGTCTCTTCTTTACAACTTTTTCTCTTTGTGGAATTCCTTTTCTGTAGGCATTGTGGAGGGGGTATTCTTGGAGAAAAATGACTGACACAGCAAAAACCAGAGCTTTAAGGCACAGTTTAGAAAAGGCCAAAGAAAAGAGCAGAGAAGAAAACAAACTGGGCAACAGAACTGCAATTGCAATTGACCACCTTCTAAAATACAAACATCTCTCCTACATTCTTGCAGCGCTGAAGCATCTTGGTCAGTATTTTGTTTTATTATAACTGATGGATTTTCAGAATGATAAGAACTGGATTTTTCCAGCTGAGGAGAGTTCAAAATATTTAGGCTTTCCGGATGACCATAAAATGTGAGTGTTGGAGGGTATAATGGAGGGTTTTCCAGACTAAAATTAGATTATTTATTTAAGAACAATATTTGAATGGTTATGTAGAGATAGGTAATCCTGTATGATTGCTTTAATTTCCCATCAGCTCTAGTAGTGCTATACCTAACATAAGTTTATTACCATTTTTACTATCAGTATATGTTCTCTATGGATCATTTTATGGATCATCTACTTAATTTTTAGTCTGGAATATTAAAACTATTGCTTTAGAAGCACTTAATAATTGCAGTTTTTACTTTTCACTTTTAATTAAAAATTGAGAAAATTCTGGTTTACAATTATTTTGCTAGAACTTCAGACTTTTCTCTGTTTGTTTTCTTTGATTGTTTTAGAGGTGGCTACCAGATTGTCCCCACTGTGTTGTGAGAATATGGCCCAGAGCAGAGCAATCTTCAGTATTTTTGTTCTGATTCGAAACTGCAACCGTAGTGTTCCATGCATGGATGTGATCAAATACTCAGTTCAGGTTCTACTCAATGTTTCAAAGGTAACTTAATATTTTCTTTTGCAGGTTTATAAGCAGTAGGCTACTACTGCTGCTACTCCACAAGCAGTACTTGTTTATCCACAAAATTTCTGAATAAATCTGGAACAACGAAAGTAGTAGTTTTGAATAAAAATAGGTTCTGATTTTTCACTGTTATTTTGAAACCAGTTATTTATGTACCTTGTAATAGTTATATGGAGGTTTTTGTGAAAAAATTATTTCATGGCCTCAAGGCATTGCAAGGTACCACGAGTATTTTTAAATTTCTCTGAAATTTTTCTAATTAGTTCCTTTATTTTTTAAAATCAGAGTCTCTAGGTTTCTAAACAAGGGAGGAAGCACAAAAGGCACCTTTTAATAGTCTGTTATGATTGTGTAAATACAGAAGAAATTTGTATTGCTGGGATACCGGTTCAGTTACAAATTTATTCTAGGGGAGAATATGAGCTTTGCTTTTTCCTCTAACCTCTAAGTAGTATCCTGTAAACTAAGGATATTTTAAAGATCCATCTATCAGGAAACTTTCTTTCTTCTTTCATGTTTAACAGTATGAAAGAACTACTCAAGCAGTTTATGAAGCTGAAAATTCTATAGATACTTTACTAGACCTACTGCAAATGTACAGAGGCAAAGCTGGGGACAAAGTTTCAGAGAAGGGAGGAAGCATTTTCACAAAGACCTGTTGTTTGCTGGCCATCCTCTCAAAGGACTCAAAAAGAGCTTTGGTAAGACCTCAATGTTTTGGGTTTAATCATTTAATTTAACATACTTTTCTTGCATGTTTTAGTAGTGTTTGTAAATTTTTTTTCTCTCCCATACCCGTTACGGCTGTAATATTAATTTTGACTAAACATTGGTTTAAAAAAAACACATTTCCAAGATGGTGAACACACTCATATTTTCTTGATTTAAGCTGCTTTTGAACTTGCAGTATTGACTGTGTGCTGTTTTCACCTTTCCTCAGGAAATCCGAGGCATGCCAAGAACTGTTTCTTGCATCCAGAGCCTGTTTAAACTCACAGCTCGGAAACACAGGATGGATGCAGAGAGAACACTTATGAAGCAGAAAACAAGCACTGCCTTAGGTGGGAGCTGCTCTGTTCCAGTTACTCCTCTAAGAATAAAAACAGTTTCAAGGTAAGTGCTTAAAAATTAGTCCTTTATTCTGCTGTGACATTGAAATCTTTTAATCCAAGCTACTAATCTTTTCACAGGATTAAACCAGACTGGGTCTTGAGAAGAGATAACATGCAAGAAGTCGTGGATCCTCTGCAAGCAATTGTGATGGTGATGGACACACTTGGCATTGCCTGCTTCTGAAATGTAAATGATGTATAGGAAAGATGTATTTGTACAGTATGTATGTAGTAAATGGATAAATGATTTTGAAAAAAGCAAATAAGTGTTAAACTACCCTTGAAAATGTTTTTTTAGGTTGGTGTTAACATTTTTTGGTAACTTTTCATATTGCATACAGTTTTGAAACCCTTTTTTGTACTACTGTCAAAAGCAATTGTACAATAAAATCTATTCCCTGGCTTTTACTGGAAATTTCACTGGTAATATATTGTTGTCACACAGCTGTGAATATTACAAATAGCATGGGATTCTTCACTCTGATTAGATATTGTAGAATTCTATTAAAATTCTGTTTGTAGGGGACAGTAATGTCTGATCTAAAGAGGTAGAAAGGGAGGCTTGGGCTGTGGATTTTGAAACTGGCTGGTTTTGGGGAGCTTGAGTCTACTTTAATGAGGGATCACGTGTGGCAGCAAGAAAAGAAAATGTAATTTCTCTATTTTGTAAACAATGCAAGATAGTGATGGAACAACAAGACATTGTAAGGGTGAATTCAGAAATCCTGACCTGACAATTTAAGGGATATGTAAGTTTTTTCTTACTATCATCAAGTGAGGAATACATACAAGCATGCATCTCCTCTGGCTGAATAGATTGTGTTCATCACAGCATCCCTGTTCATTCTGTTCTGTTCTGTATTCTCAGCACTGCATTTTCTTAGAGAAAGGCTAAGATAATGCAAACTGTAAAATTACACCCGCCTATTCCCAAATTTAAGCATTATATCTCTAATGATGCTAAATCAACTGACAGCTATTAGTGAGGTGACTGTAAATGAGGTTAATTTTTTTTGTTTGTTTGTTTGGTTTTTTGTTTAAAAAAATATTTGGAAGTGGCTTGCTATATTCAACACAACTCAGATAATAATAGTGGCTATGTTGTTCATGAAAGAAGCTCCAAAATCATGCAACTGCCTGGTTTACTCAGGGTCTAGGCTGGAGGATGGGAGAGTTATCTTTTCCTCTGATTTCAGCCAAGGTAAATAATCTGATAACCAAATGCCCTTTAAACTTGGGACTCTGGAGGTTGTGAGGGGAACAGTGATCAGCAAGTTTAAATTGTTCCATAAGCTCATTGCCTGATTTCACTGTAAAATGATAAATTACAGATGGCAAAGTGTGTCAAATGGAAGTAGAATCCTGCCAGTCTAGTGCGAAGGTATTTGGAGAACTAATATAAATGAAAATAGTTTTTCCAGTGAATTAACTTGTTACAAAATACCATAGACATTAAGGCATTTGTTGAATACCTTTGAAAATTCAGTTAATTATTTACAAAAGTAATACTTAGGGAGTTTTCACAGGTACTGGAAACTGTAGCTGGAGAAAGTAATGAAGATGAGATTTAAAAGCTATTTTATCTTCCTAGTTATGCTGTGTTCAGGCAAACTCTTTGCAGAAGGTAAATACACTGAATTCTATTGTACATTGAATGTAGAATATGCAGTATTGGTAGCTTAAATGCAATGTCTTTCATCTCTTTACTGAGTAAACACTTTTTAATTTTAAATACATTCTTTTGTGACATGGCTGGTGGTCACAATTCAGCTGGCACTGATTCCTGTCTAAGCCTCAGAACTGTAATATTGAAATGTTCAGACTTCAGAAGAAATTCCTTTAAAAATGTCTTAGCTGTGTCAAGGCACTTACACAACTTGAATTTTGTACTATTAAAACATTTTATATATTGAAGTGTCTTGGGGATTGAAATATTTTCTCTCTGTTACAAAGCAAAACAGTGGAAGTTAAATGGAACCTGCAGAAGTTATCTAAAGTGGTTTTGCCTTTTCTATCCCTTTTTTCAGCACTGATTTCTTATTTTCATTGTTTTTGGGTTTTTTCTTTTTGTTTTTTTTTTTATTTTGGGGTTTCTTTAAGTAACCTAATGTCATATTCAGCACTACTATTTAAAAAGGTTTTCTCCTGGTACTGGGGATCGTTTGGTGTTTTTTTAATTGTCATTTCACTTGTTTTTTCTTCAGTCTCCTTTTCTTGTTCCTTTTCTGTTGACTGTTCTTAAATTCCCTTTCTTAAGCAAGCCTAACTCTTATACTGCCTCCTAGAAGCTTGTCCTGCTTTTCTGGTAACATTTTCTGAATTGAGGAGCTGAGGCACTACTAATCCTCATACTTATCACTGAATTTTACAGTAGGCATTGGTGTGTTTGTGCAGCAAAGTGTTCTCATGCTTCTGGGCAAAACAGTAAAATAAAGGTGTCTTGCGTGAGTTTTGCTTAGCTCACATTAGGAAGTTTTATTCTACAGCTGATATTCTTGTAAACCCTAAGAGCAAAAGCTGATGAAATTGTAGTATGTCTTCATTTCAGCAGGTCTTAAAAGGCCCTTCATGCTTGTAAGTATTCAGAAGTTTGTGCTTGTTTGAAAGCCTGAATCAGTCACGCTGATACTAGATTAATTGATGCAAAAACATTCATATCTGGGCTGAAATTTTTAGTGGGAAATATATTGATCTTTTTGCAGATATACCTTGTGATTTGCCACAGATAGAAAATGGAAACCTTGCCCAGTACTATTACAGTTTCAGAAGTTACTATTTCCCTATGCGTAAAGGAAAAAAGCTCTCCTATTCTTGTATGGTTGGTTACACAACTGAAAGTGGGACTCAAGATGGAAGAATAACTTGTACAGCAAAAGGATGGTGTCCAGTGCCACGATGCTACAGTGAGTTAGCTTTATTCATCTGATTGCTTCCAGCAGGAACATTTCCTGAGACATAGAGGAAAAGGAGCTGCATAACAGAAGAGATAGAATGTACAGGGTGCAGTCATTTTTGTTGAGACTACATAGGTTTATATATGGAATATTTTTACAATAATACATATTTTAAGGGCATTTATTTTTTTTATATAAATATAAAGATTTCCAGTTTTCTTAGTCTGGGAAAACTTAGTTTTCCTTTAGATGTATAACTTCTTGAGTCTCCCTAGCTCTAGATTCCTTGGCTGTATTCCATGTGATTACTGGTGGTCTGATGTATATCAGTTCGATGATTGGAGCAGAGCTTTTTCTATAGGTTGAGAAAATCAAATTAGATCAGTACAGCTACAAACCCTTTCTTTTGCTTACAGGAAAAAAAATATTCCATTCTTTCTTTCTAAACGAGCTGTCCTTCCTTCAGGAAAATGCACCAGGCCTCTTTTGGAAAACGGCTCTTTTTACAGTACTGAAATAGACTTCAAAATCCATGAGAAATTGCAATACAAATGTAATCCGGGCTACCACACCCCAAGTGGTGCTACTGAAGATACAGTGCAGTGTCAGCCACAAGGATGGTCCTTCCAGCCAAGCTGTACTAAAAAACTTGGTAGTATTCTGCATTTTTCTCTTTTCTAATCTATTGGAGATGTATATAATTCCACTGTCCTTGCTGTACCTGTAGGGCCAAACTGCCTATGACAGGCTGTCATTTGAGTGCTCCTAAAGCAGATTCTCAGCTGTAACTCTGGGGAAAAACTTGTCAGGTTTCACATGCTGCTGGTTTTGTGCATTTGTAAAGGTATGTAAAAATGATACATGTAAAATGAATCAGTAGAGATAAAATCGCACTGTTTCAAATAAATTCATTGTTATACAAACTTTCTGTTCCAAATGACAAGTGGGAAGCTTGTGCCAACAACTGTATATGTAGTTTTGTTATTTACCAAGATTTTGCCTGGGATATGGCCACTTGTAAGGTGTATCTAAGGGAAACTTTGGAATACTCACAACAAAAAGAGCAGTTAACATCATGGCTGTGCTATTTTTCATTGAGAATCATGCCAGGTGCCCAGGCTACATCACGGCACCTACTCTGAAGCCATGCAGGAGGTGGAGCTGAACGGGACGCTGTGGTACTGGTGTGAGCAGGGATATCGCACTGCGGCAGGGAACGCCTCTGAGGCAGCGCTCTGCCTTGCACATGGATGGGCCCTCACCCCCAGCTGCACCAGTACGTCATCCTCTCTGAAAACTGATTTACCCTACACATAAAAATTGGCAAAGAGGCTTCTTTCATCAGCTGGTGGAAGGAACCTTCCTCAACTGACTTTCACTGCTGTGTTTTCTTCCCAGGAATAACTTGCTCCACTTTGAGTGAAGTAGCTCATGGAGGTTTCTATCCTGTGAAGAAAATCTATGAAGAAGGAGATGTAGTTCACTTTTTCTGTGACAAACATTATTCTGTCACTGGATTTGATTTAATTCAATGCTATAATTTCGGGTGGTATCCAGACCCTCCAGTGTGTGAAGGTATCCTGTTTTTATAGTTTAACTGTGTAAAATTCTTGGAGAAGAGCTCTCACCTTCTTTCAAGAAATGAACATTTTATGAATGCATAAACAAAAAAATCAGGGTTTGTATCAGCTTGTAGTCTAAATGTAAATCAAGTGTAAGTCAAAGGGCAAGGAGCCAAGGTAGCAGAAAGGGAGGCAATGATAACTGGAATAACATTTCAGTGAACTCTAACAACAGAGCAGATACTGCCTCTTACTGTTGCTTCTCTCAAGTTGTGTCTTGGAGAAGCAGGAATCAACAGTTACAGGGAATTTTTTAGACCCTGAAGCTCCTGAAGGTTTAACCAGGCCTGCTTAGTCCTGCCTTGTGGGATGGGGATGTACCTCTTGAGAGGCATTAAAATAGAATTTTTAACAAGGTTCTCCAAAGCATGTAGTACTTTTCAGAGTTGTACAGCTACCCCAACCTTTACTTGTTTTGAACAGAGTTAATTAAAAGATTGTCCTGATGATAGAAACACACCTTTAGCAATTATTATCACTTCCTCAGTTGCTGGGGGATAATGGAGAGTCTCAGTAAAGAAAGTTCCAAAAGAATGAAAGGTGAACCAGCTGAGATATAGAACAAAGCAGAAAGCAGCACAAAACTTTACTGCAGCTTACACTCCAACCCTGTGTTTACTGTCATGACACAGCAGGAACTTTTCTTGAGAGAGTGCAGAGAAGGTGGAGATGCTCAGGAGGATGAAAACAAGGCCTAAATTTACTTTTGAGGATACAGTAATCACAAACTTAATTTAGAGATAAGAAATGGGCTATGATTATAGCTTCTTTTGTAGCATTAGAATTAATACACATTCTGCTTTAAATAGTATATGAATGGAGGGTATGGGAAATCTCTGTTTCCTGGTGTCCTATAAAGAACATTTTATTAAGTCTCTGTGGAGAAATTACAAATTTGTTTATAGCAGTACAGTGACATAGTACTTACATTTTATATTTGTGGAGTGAAAAGTCACTTGTTTGTTCAGGCCTCCTATTGTATTAAGAAAATTGAAAAAATTTTATGAAGAATTACTCTGGCCTAGCCAAAAAAGCCTTTTGACTGAAAGGCTTGTATTGTGTATGGTGAGCTTAATTGTGTACTTGGTTTTGGTAAGAGAGAAAACAATATGCAATTTTTTATTTTCAGATGTAAAAAATAAATGTCCTCCACTACCATTCCATCATGGCCATATCAGCACAAACAGAAGAATATATCATAATGGGGACAAAGTTCATGTACAGTGTACCTTGGGAAGGAGAGGATTTGAAGAAATCCAGTGCGAAGGAGGAAAGTGGACATCACCTTCTAGCTGTATTAGTGAGTGCTTCTGTGAAGGCTGACAACTGAACTGAAATGATTATTCAACCCATGCCTTAATATTCTAGAGAGTCTCAGTTTCTGTATCTGCAAAACTGTTATGCTTCCTCTGTTAAAAGGCTTGAGAGGCAAAGTGCTCCATATTTTGCAGGCAATCCATGATTCCCAGATTAAAAAGGATGAGCTAGGTGATTTCAGCTGCCACCTGTGACATCTCCCCTGGAAAACTGGGATTATTAAATTGTACAGTACATCATATCTGTCTGTTTTAGTGTTTTAAAATGAGCTGTTTCTGTGAAAACTGGTTCTGGGTCTCTGCTATGATTACAGGAACTGTGGATAAACAAGAATCTGGGGCACCACCACCACTCGAGGCAGATGCAAAAATAAGGGCAAGCCAAACACATCATAATGAAGGTATGAGTAGGTGAACATTGCTCTTCTATTTAATAGGGACTCTCCAATCCAGTTACGGGCATTTTATGACTACTTTTATTCTTTTGCTATGGGACAGTTCCATATTCTTGAAAATACTTGCATGGGCTACAGATGTCAATGTAGCCAATAAATAAAAGGTCATTGTTGCTTATTTCTAAATTATTCCAATAAGTCTGCTCTGTATTTATAATTTTGTTTTATACAGAGCACTTACTTTTTTCAGTCATTTTGTACCCTTTAGTATTATTTGACATGCAAATTCATTAGTAGTTTGTTGCTCCTTTGTTTACTACTTCCAATGTGGGCTCTTTTGAACCACACATGGATGAAACATTTCAAGTAACAAATAAGATAGTCTAAGTCACATAAAAAGAACTAATATGTATTGAATGTAAACCAGCAAGAGCCAAAAGTAGGCATAGATGTAAAGCATAGAGGGAAATAAAATCCATTTGCAATTCAGAAAAGCAAGTGTAGAGTTTCTGAAAATGAAATTTGGAAAAATAATTATATTGGTTTATATTCTATTTGTTTGCAATTTTTTTCACTCAGTCTAGTATTGGTCTGATACTTCCATGAGTGTTAACCATGTTGTAATCTAATCAAGATTTAATTGCCTCTCTCTATCCCATATCAGAAGTGCAGCAAGACTGTTCCTCTCCGCCTGTGATTAAAAATGGTGGTGTCCTGGGCCCATTATTGGCAAGTTACAAAAATGGTTCCTGGGTAGAATATGGTTGTCAGCATTACCACTTTTTGGATGGACCCAGTACTGTTTACTGTGACCATGGAAACTGGACGGAACCACCAACCTGCTTAGGTGAGTCTTGGAAGGAAAAACAAGGTTTGTCATATGTAATATAAAAAGGGAAAAATGGAAGGAACCTCTAAATAATCTTTTCATTACCATCTTTTCTCTTTTATTGGAGTTAATAAAGATTCCAGAAATATGAGGATGAACCAAAATTAAATTTTTAGCAGGCCTCTCCTGCTGGGTATCCTCTGACCTGTTCTTAAAACCACCCAATTAAATAGATTCCTCTGTTTCCTTAGTGAGCTATTCTAGTACATAGCTATCCCTGTTTCCTGGGAGGATTCTCCAATTTCTTTCTTCCATATTGTCTATTCAGTTAATTTCTTCCTGTCTTTCAGTAGGTGATTAGAAGGAATGGTGTGGCTATTCCAAAATGGCTTTTAGATCCAATTAACAAAGAATTAGCAATGACTTCTAGGACTTTAGTTTTTAAACTTTCAGGCTATTTTTTTTTTTTTTTATTATGTGTCTTTATATATGCTGTTTCATCCTGACCTGGACTTTTAAATTTTTTTGTGCTTTTATGTATGCTGCGCAAAACACTAGAAAATTACCATTGCTAGCACATATACAAACAAGTGTTGTTTGTTTATCTTTCCTTCCTTCCTTCCTCTAATGAAATAATTCAATTTTTTTAACATCCTTTGGTAAATTGGCTCACCTTTTAGTTTGTAATGTACCATGAAAATGAAAATACACCATCAGTTCAGTTTTAATTGCATGTTTCTAAATGAACAGAAGTTATCTTATCTAGACTGAAAGATCCAGGTCAGCATTTTTATCTTAATACTCAAATTTAACAAATATTGTGAAATAATGAAATCTTATTTCCTGTGAGTATCCAAACAAACCCATCATCCTTTGCATGTTTTCTGAGATTTCTTTTCAACACTTACCTAATCAGACCAGAAAGAACACATGCTGATGTTAGCTTCAGGAAAATTCCATGCAAATTTGGTGTTACAGTGCTGCCACCAGACTGCCGGTAACTGAGTTCTCTTTGCCTTTCCCTCAGCAGAGCATCAATTAAGGGTCTTTATCAGCCAGTGATTCTCATGGAACTTGTAGAAATTTATTTTTGTAGGTGACCCTCTGTTAGGCTTTATTGACATTGAACAGTGGTTTCAGAACAAGGTTAACAAGGTTACTCTTCTAATGGAAAGCTACACTCCCCAGTGTGATGCTGGCACTGGGTTTTAAGAACCTGTCAGAAAGCATCCATTCCTTTTGCATGTGTTTGGTTTTTGTTATCACTTCAGACCGCTTCTTTCCATATTTTTATGCATCTGTAGCTCCTTGTCTTGCAAGATTCAGAAGCATTTTAGGACTATTGACTTGGGGTTCTCTTTCTTCACTCCTACGAAAGTGAGCTAGGAAATCAGTTAAGGTGGCTTTTTATTAAAATACACTTTTAATTCCTAGAACCATGTACTCTTAATGTAACTGATATGGACAGCAACAATTTAACACTGAAATGGAGACGGGAAGAATTAATTTTCCTACATGGAGATCTCATAGAGTTTGAATGTAAACAGGGATATGGTTTCCTCCAGACTGCCATTCCATCTCCTGGGAGGACACAGTGTGACCATGGCAGACTGAAATACCCAAAATGTGTTATTCAAGGTAAAGCAATATTTTTTTTTAATTGCATTTTTAATTAATCAATCTTAGACCTATTTAGAAATTATTTGCTTTGCTTTTAGTGTGGGCCTGGAATCTGTTGTAAATAATCAGTGTTTAGGCTTCAACAATACATATGCACAAGGCAAATATATTGTTGAATATAGCCAAGCTTGGAAAAGTGATACACCTAACTTTTCTGGGCAAAGCTGTAGAAAGGAGGGGGAAGCTCATCTCTGAGCTCAGGAAACTGAAACCTCTGTAGAAAGAGAGCTTTATTTAGATAAAGTTGTCAGTCTGTTAGTTTCTTCTTATTCAAATGTTTTTATTCTTACTGCAGCTGCTACAGAAAAATGTAGCTCTCCACCCTCTATTGCAAATGGAGCTCTTACTCTCCCAGCGCTGCCCCAGTATGACAGTGGATCTTCAGTTCACTATATTTGCTCTGACTATCATTTTCTGCAAGGCTCTGAGAAAATCTACTGCTCTGAAGGACATTGGACTTCACCACCAGTTTGTATAGGTAGGTGTGATAAATAAGATAAAGAAGCTCTTATTTCTCTATATAATTCATAGCCTCAAGGAACAGCCTGGTAGTGAGCTGTAAGGGCCATCTAGTCCAATCCCCTGCAATGAGCAGGGTTGCTAGAGCCCTGTCCAGCCTGACCTTGGATGTTTCTGGGAATGGGGCAGCCACTGCCTTTCTGGGAAAAGGGAAAACAGTTCCAGTGTTTTACCACTCTCACTGGTGGTAATGTCTTCCTTATGTCTAGGCTGAATCCACCCTCTCTTAGTTTGAAACCATAACCCCCTGTCCTACTGCTCCAGTCACTACTGAAAAGTGTGTCTTCATTTTTCTTACAAGCCCCTTTTAGGTTCTGTAAGGGTGCAATGAGGTCTCCCTAGATATTTCTTTTTGCCAGGCTGAACAACCCCTGTTCTTTCTAAAATTAAATACTTTTAATTTATAAATATAGTATTATCAGCTAGAACTTTTAAATCTCAATTTCAGTGTCTTAAGTGACATATGGAAGTTTTAATAGAAGCAAGTTAAGCTCATCTGGTGGATTTTTTATTTCCTTAAACTCTGATATGCCTGCAGTATAAGACAATAGGAAATACTTTATAGTTTCAGTGTAGCCTGATCAAAATATTCTGTTCCAAAAAAATCAGTTTATTAGCACTGATTAAGTCTTTTCTTTTAGAGCCATGTATTTTGTCAAAAACTGAAATGGAGAAAAATAATGTGCTGCTGCAAGCGTTCTATGCAGACCAGGTTTACTTTTACCATGGGGATTATGTTGGATTTTACTGCAAACAGAACCATTTTGGAGCAGAATCTGGCACAACTTTATTTCAAGTACAGTGTAAGAGAGGAAAGCTGGCATATCCAAGGTGTGTTGAAAGAAAGCAAGTATGGACTTGAGGAAAACCTATAGGAAGGGTATGTACATGTTCTTTATCTCTTATTAACAGGTGAATTAGGGTGTCCTCACGTTCTCCAGGTCACTCCACTCAGCTTTGGGGAATGAGTGCTGAGTCTGAGCTGGAGGGGGATGGAAGAGAAAGGCCTTTGTGGGATGAGGATGAGCAGTGCAGCACAGGGATGCAATATTGGCATACACATGGAAAAAGATGAAGGAAGGAGTTGTACATCTTAAGAGCATCCTATGACACCTAAATATTGATACTCTTAAGATTTTGTGTCAAGTTTTGGCTTCACAACCCTGGACCCAGGCCAGCCAGGAGTGGTGTGGCAAATAAACAGGACGGGCACGGTTGGGTGACCCGAAAAGTAAAATTGCTTTAATGGCAAGATAACAAACAGCAGAAGGCAAACACACAGCATAGGGTCAACCACAAAAGGTGCAAAAAACATGGCTACAACAATATATGTAAGGAAGATCTGAGGTGGATCTGGAGGCAGGGTTCAATCACAGACTGAGATTATGAGTATTAAAAATAATGTGCCAAACGACAATCGATCAGGGATGAGAACTAAGAACATTCTGGAAGCATAACCTTATATGAACAGGCTTGCTAACATCTCACAGTCTTAAGCTGATGCCAAGCCAATTCCATCTCTACATATCCCCCTTCCTTTTGAGCAATTAAAATTTCTTGAATAGACTTCCTGACAACCCTTAAAAAAAAGTTATTAAGCAAGGTAACATTAACAATACAACAAAAATAACTGTAAGAACAAGCAAACCTGTTTTAACCAATGATAGCAACCTAGGTGCAAACCCCAGTTTTTGAAAAGTCCACTCAACCAGTCATTTCCATTTTCAACTTGTGACTTCTTTACTCACTTCCTTCAGTACTTGGATGCTCCTGTGTATTGACCCACTGTGGCTGGAAAGTTCATGCAACACATGCCCTCAAAGTCCTTGCAGCCATGTCCAGGCACTAGCAGCAGGGAATCTGTGATGTTTTCCATCGTCTCCCAAATGTGCTGCTTCGGTTGTGGGACTATCCTCCTTCAGTGAGGAGCAGGATCTTGAATATTCCAAGTACTGTAAGAAGGAGTCCTTTAAATGTTATCTCTTGGAAAATAATCTGTAAAACAAAGCTGCACAATAAAAGGCAAACAGTTAAGATATGTTGTCTGCAGATATTCTTTCAGCCATTTCTATTTCCTGTTCTTTTGGGGATTCTTCCTGTGGTTGTTCACAGAGTGGATACAGGTCGGGCTTTACATTTTGGCTGTGATCCACTGGGGTCCTCTACCTCTGAAAACACAAACATATCTCCTCCCCCAGGGAATTAATAGCCAACAGTTGGAGGGTTTGGCTCCATAAATGAATTATTCAAAAACTTAAAAACACATGCAACCCCACTGAGCCTCTCTGCAGTGGACAAGGTCTCTAGTCCCCCCTCTCTTGTCTCCTCAAAAACAGCACAATCATCAGCATGAAACTGAACAGAACAAAAAACACTAACATGATCCAAATCTCTGTTTCCCATGGCCCAAGATTAAAATTATCCTCATAAGGCAGTGACAAGGTCCCAACCAAACTCATCTACTCATCATCTCTCTTCTGGACTAGAAACAATGAACATAAAGAATTCTTAAAAAATTTGAACATACAACTTAACAAACATGGTAACACAATTAACATAACAACATGAGAAAAGGTCAAATTCAAAAACAAAACAGTCTTTTCTGTTTGGGACTTATTTTAAACTTTCATTCTAGGTTTTATACTTCCACATAATCTGTTTGTTTTTTATGATTTATAATTTTTTGAGACTCAACATAAGTCTGTCCTTGAAGATTAATATTAATTGCTCGGGACACATGGCACAGCACAAGGATTTAAAAGTGTATGCCCTGGGTTTTACTCTGCATGGTATATTTTTCCCTTTGAAGAATCTATGAATAATCATCAAATTAAAGGTGACAAAACCAAATGTTATATTGCCATTATCCAGAGTTATTACAAAGCAGTCCAGTCAAAATAAGATGATAAAGTCTAGGTAAATATTATGAATATTGAATTAATATATGTATCAGTATACTCAGTTGTAAAAACCTAACATTAAAAGCCAGACATAAATATGGAAGGTCTTTATGCAAACCTGTGTGTCAGTTGTAGTCAGTTGTGGAGGTATCACATGGATGGATGCATGTACAAAGCCATTCTAATATTACTTATTAATTACTAATTAATTAACAGATTAGGAGTGCTTTGGTAGATTTGATTTTGTGGAGTTGTGGTATTTCTTATTTCTTATTTTGTGGCAGTCAAAGATCTAAGCTCTCTACCCTACACATAACATATTCTGTTAAACAAAGCAAAACCCTTTGAGACAATTCTAAGTTTTTTGAGAGTTATAGCCCATGCTTTGTTTATGTACAGTGACTATTTATTGAATTAGCACTCCCAGATTTGGATATCAGAAAAATCCATTAGATAATTGTCAGTCAGTTTGTTCCTTTGGTATTTGGTGGTATTTCTATGCTGTCTTAATGGCATCACCTGAGATTTTCTGGGTATAAAAATATTCCAAACTGTAGTCTGTAATAAATTCTCAGGAACTGCTCTTTAAATTCCCGTAGTAAGAAAGTTTGTTAGAAATATTCTTATGTTTAGGCTGCTGTTCTGCATGATACATTAACAATTGTTATATAAATTTTTGAGCTATAAGGAAGACATTGTAAACCTGAAAATAAATCATTACTAAGATTTTGCAAATGATTCAGCTTTGCTAACTGTAAATAAGATGCCAGCAAGCAGTTAATAACCCTGAAAGCTATGTTCTACTAAGAAGCAGCTTGTCATATAGAGAGAGCAATGAAATAAACTGTTTGAAGTCAAAACAAAATGCAGATATAAAAATAAACAGACACTAGGTATTAATGAATTGGAAGAATCCCATATAGAAACTGTCATATACTAAACCATGTAAACCTTGCTGCATGGAAGCATCTTGAATCATCTGTTTGCAGTAGGAATAATAAAGTCCACACCTGGTTCTGAATGAAATTTCTCCTGACATTGGAAAACTGCAGGTCATTTACGTGCAGTGCAGCCACATAAAGAAAAGTGAAAAGTCCAAGGGAGATGGCATCAATTCCACAAAGCAAACCTTCATTACAGCTGTGTAGGTCACGCTCAAAGCCAGGCGGTTCTCTGTGAATCCAAAATTCACAGCCCGGCGGCAGATGCTGGTTGCCAAGCAGCAGAGTTGGTCGGAGGCGGTGCTGAGTTTGAGCTGCGGCGGGAGCGCGGCCCCGCTCCGCTCCAAAGGGGCTCGGCCGCGCTGTGCCCCCGTTTCTGTGGGGGCTGTCGGGGGACAGCCGAGCGCGGGGGCCGCGGCAGCAGCGCCGCCCGGGGC